TTCCCCCCTTCTATCAAATCCATGTTTGATCAACAGATCGTCCCCTCTGCTACTCTGGAGGGGAATTCACTGTGCATTACTGCCTTTTTTTTTTTTTTTTTCCTTCATTCCTAAGGATGAGCTTCTAGGAATTACTTTTCTATGCTGTGGTTATTTTATAACTTTTCATGTGATTCGGAGGAGTTCTCCTTCTGGTAGGATCTGAACTGTGGTTCTGGCCCTGACCTGATGGATGGAATTAGTAGTGTAGCTTGTCATTCAGACTCTGGTGCTACTGCTGCTGCTGCTGCTGCTTTAGCCATGTGACTTTGTGCTTACTCTGATTCAGTTTAATCTTCACCTTTGAGATGGAGATAAGTTCTCACTACACTGAGTATGGTGAAGATTATAATAGTCTTCAGCTCTTGGAATAGTAACTCTTATAAGGGCAGCACTTCATATGTTGGCTGTTATTTTTATGACTACTTGAAAGAACAAACTAGACAATAAAGGCTGCTTGCTCTGAGTTGTATGCAGGTGGTTTAATTATTAATACCAGCTATGTATGTGGGTCTGTGTTATTTTGAGAAGAATCTTCTTTTCAATAGCTGCTATGTAGGTGAGCCATTGTTTCTTTGGATAGCCCAAATGGTAGTTTCCTCATTTGAGAATCAAGAGTGATTTTTCTGGGCTGGAGGTATGACTCAAGCAGTAGAGATCCTACCTCACAAGCGTGAAGACCTGAGTTCAAATATACCAGTACCACCAAAAGAAAAAAAAAGTGTTTTTCTCTCTTTCAGTGGAGGCTTGATGTGCCTGGGTTGGTGTAGATGAAAGCAGTCAGATCTCCTTTTGTGACTCTGTGGCCTGGAGTTGGGCAGAGGAATGGTTTGTGATGGCCTTTGTGGTCACCTTGGCAGCTCACTGATTTACTGGTATCGTGGCAGCATGTTGAATTTATGTACTCATTTTAGATGTGCCTAGTTCTGCTATGGCTCTATGAGACCACTCTTTAACTGGCTGTAGCCTTGTTAATGTGACTTCTTCCCCTGCTTCTAGCTAGAACAGTTTGTGGTCCAGAGTAAGGAAAGGAACAAGCACAGCTTGACGTTTGATCATTTTCTTTTAGCTGTCCAAATGGAGTATTTAGTGTGATGTTTTAGTTAAAATAGAACTTTTCTTCAGAGTAGTGTCTAGGTAGAAGAACATACTAGATAGGTGAGAGACAAACGCTAGTCTTCACATTTTTCTGACCTGCCAGGCACACTCCTTTTTTTAGGGCTCCTAGTCTGGCTACTTCCTCTGCCTAGAATGTTCTTCTCCTAGATAAATTCCTTCCACTAACATCCTCTTGTCTAAATGTGGTATTTTCTGTAAGGCTTACCCTTATCAAACTATTTAAATTATAATCCACCACCTTCCCAACAATCTTGGTCACCTTTCCTGTGCTTTTTTTTTTTTCCCCCTAATATACTTGCTAATTTTTAACATATATTTATTTGTGAAATAAGTTTAATGGAGGCAGGGATCTTTGTTTACTGAGTTCTATTAAGTGCTTACTTGGAACAGTAATTGGCACATAGTGGGTATTCAGTAAACATGAATGAATGAAAAGGAAGAGTACTGTGAGAAAGTTAAAGGAGGATTGTTTTAGTTTCCTGTGATTGCTGTTACAAATTAACAAAACTCTGGTGGTTTAAAGAACAGAAATTTATTCTCTTACAGTTCTGGAGGCCAGAAGTTCAAAATTAAGATGTCAGCAGGGCCTTGCTCCCTTCAAATGCTTTGGGAGAATCCTTGTTTTGCCTTTTTCAGCTTCTCGTGGGTCCAGTGGTTCATTAGCTTCTGTCCACAACACTCCAATTGCTGCTTCCTTGGTCCTACCCTGTTTTCTTCTTCTATCCCTCTCTCTCTCTTTCTTTAAAAATTATTTATTAATTTTTACTATTTTTATTAGCATATATTAATAGTACAAAGGGTTTTTATTGTGATAATTCCATAGATGTACACAATATACTTTGAACAAGTTCACCCCCTCTATTATAGTCCCTTAACCTTCTTCCCTCCTGACCCCCCTTTTCAAGCTGTGGTGAGTTTCATTATACTGTGTGTGTGTGTGTGTGTGTCTCTGCGTGTGTCTGTGTATAATATACTTCAATCCTCTTTACTCCCCCCACCCCCAGTCTACCTCTCTCTTATAAGGATATATCTATAATTAGGGCCTACCTGGATCCATGATAAGCATCTCTTCTCAAGATCCTTAACTAAATCATACCTTTTGGCATATAAGCTAGTATTTGCTCCTATATATACACATATATTCCAGGGATTAGAATGTGGATGTGTATTTTGGAGGCCACCATTTGGCCACTGTGAGGGGTTAAGGAGATGTTTTATAGGAGGGAGAATAATCCCAGGTGTACAATTTAGTAAAATATGAAGTAGAAGGAAAGACAGAAGGCTAGCTAGTCTCTTCATTTTTTTCCTCGTTTTTACTGAGATCACATTGTTTTCAAATTAAATACAGGCACGTAGACGCTCAGAAGAATATGAAAGATAATATGATTTGCATATGCTGGCCTCTGCAGTTGTTAACATATTGACATAACAGCCTTGTATCTTCTGTTGTCCCTCTTACAGGAAGTGAACACTAGTTATGAAGTCAAGATCCTAGCTTCCATTTCCTATTTCCATTTCTCCCTCTGCCTATCTAGAAACCATCACTATCATTAATTTGGTATATGACCAGTCTATGGTTTTATAGCTTTTTGAGTATCTCACTATTCATTCATAATATATGGAGTTGTGTTTGTATTAAAAACATCTTCTCAGAAATGGTGTTATATTGTATATTGCATGCTGTAGTTTGCTTTTTAAATCAATTTCAGGTTGATACAGGGAGATCTAGTCATTCATTTTACTGCAGCAGGTTCTCTGTCCTGGCTTCAGAGTATATAAATCTCAGAGCAGGCTCTTAATTCACGTAGGTGAATCCCATGCCAACACCTTTTCCAGTAGTCTGTAGCTTCAGCAAACAGGGCACTAGGATTACTCAAGCCTGGATCCCATGCCTTCCTATGTAACCAGAGGTTCACTGTACTTTACAACTCTCCTTAAGGTCACGTTTGGGTTGTTACAGGAAAAAAGTGGAGAAGGAATTTGGAGTATATAGAAAACATAGGTTTCTACTTTGAGCTTTAAGTTTGGGCTTGGACATAACAGCCTCTGGGAAGCTTTCTTCCTATGATCTTCAGATCATGCCCTGTGCCTTTGCTCTTTCTGCTATTGTAATTCTTATCATGTAATATCTTCATTGCCCTCTCCTCTTGATGTGTACTTATTCAGGCAGGTACTGTATCTGCCTTGTTTTACACTGCACTTGAGGAAACACAGGGTCTTACTTACCATTAGATGCTCAGAACATATTTCTGAATGAATGGTTCCGCTGATTGGTAGAACTTTCAGCTCCATTTCCTGTTCATGTGTAACATGAGCAGGAATCCTCTGTGGCTCTAGTGCTTTTGCACCAACCTTTCAGGCCCATTGAAATCTGGCTCTTTTCACATCTTTTGGTTTATATGAGTTGTTTGGTTCTATGTAGAATTTTCTTTTTCTTAAGGGTGAAAATTCAAGGAAATATGAAATTGTTGAGATGCCATTAAAACTTCCTAAGATAATTTGGGATGAGTCCCATAAAGTCTTCTCACACTGGGATCCTTTAGCTTTCATGTATTCACTATAACTTTTTTAACCTTAAATATGCCATCAGCAGAATATATTTTATGCAAACTTCTAAATATCTTTTTAGCATAAAGAATATTTAGATTCCAGTGGATATAAAATGTGAACAATTCTATTTTGTAATAATAGTAATAGCAACATTTATCAGATGCTTTTTCTGTGACAGGCAGGTAGAAGGTAGGTACTATCTCAGAGCTCAAAGAAGAGACCAGTGATTTGCTTACCTTATTAGCTCCTAGCTAGGGGAGCTGGGATGTGAATCTGTATACTTCGAGCCAAGAGCCAAACTCCTCAGGACCATGTTCTGTTTCCTTCTGTGATTCAGAAAACGAAGCCTGGGGTTTGGTAGCAAAAAAAAAAAAAAACCAAACCATTGAATTGATCATAGATAAGAAGTAAAGTTCTTGCCATAAAGTTTTGGAAGAGATAAAAGAGAGAGAGTCAACCAAAGGCTTAGAACGATTTTCTCATGGCCTCTGCAAGGAGAGAAAGAGCCATGCTGCTTGAATTGGGCTGAAGCCACTGTTCTTTGTTACAAACTGGCACTGCATTCCCCAGGATACTGGAGAAAAAAAGTTGAGAAATACAGGTGGTTATACAGTATATTTTCTGCCTCCAGCATACATGTTGATCTGTAGCTCTGGCATCCTGACTGTGATAGGAGTCATTTAATCAGGAAGGCGTTAAACATCTGAATAAACATCAAGTTATAAAATAAGTTTTATGTGGAGCACTTAAATGAAGCAAAGCATAATGAATTTGTAAGTATCTTACTGTGAAACTTTGTGGAGTGACAACTGAAGAAGTTTATAGTAGACCTAATAGAATCTAATTAAATGATATTATTAGATATGAATAGGACCTTGATACTGTTTTCTTTTGGTTAATGTCTGTTTCCTAACTATATTTCCTCTAAACTCTTAAATTAATTTGCTCAGAATTCTTTTATCCTGGATTTTTTTTTTAAGAATAAAGTCTCCTACATTGGAGGAGACTAGTGTAGAAAACTAATGGGATAATCTGTGCTCTTTTGAACACACCTCCTTTGCCAGGTTACTGTAAGCATTCTCCAGCAGTGATACTGTTTCCTGCTTCTACAACACTAGCACTTGGCTCAGTTCTATGCTAAGTGAATATTCCATTGGTTTATATTTGGACTAATAGTGCTACTCATACAGTGTGCCTGAGTTCCCAAATACAGTTACCTATTTCTGTCCACAGACAGTAATCATAAGATAAATTGATCATATTTAAATTACATTTACTTTTATCCCCTCTAGGTTGCATCCCAGCGCATAAGCTCAGTGGACCTTTCATGTTGTAGCCTGGAACACCTGCCTGCCAACCTCTTCTACAGCCAAGACCTCACTCATCTCAATTTAAAACAAAACTTTCTAAGGCAAAACCCCAGCCTTCCAGCTGCCAGGGGACTCAGTGAACTGCAAAGGTGAGCCTTAGAATGCTAGGGCCTTTAGGATTGACTGCTGGTTGAATATTCTGACTGAAAAAACTTAGTGTTTAAACTTTCTTTTTCAGAGGAAAGGGTGATAGAACTTTGTATATTAGTGAGAACATTATCAATTCTCATTCCAAAATGTTTCCCAAAGTTCCTGCCTTTAAAATTAATTGTTTGTGATTATTTATTAACTATATAAATTTACATAAAAACAATTTTCTTTAAACCACTTTTATTCTTTAAGCTATCTATCAAAACATTGGTGGAAAGTTAATAGTATTTAGTGTATTTCTTCTAACTTCAGGAGTTTTTTCAGATTAAATTCTTTATTTCTTTCTTTATTTTTTTTTTAAATTTCCCGGCCCATGTGTCCTCATTCACAATACAGGGCGTGGGCTGAGGGTATATGGGGTAGGTGTACTTTGCCTCCTCTTTCTGTACAGTCATTCTAAGAACACAGCCTGTGGTAAACATCAGGAGACCTAAATTTCAAATTTACAGGTCACTTTTTTTCCATTCAAAGGCACTGGCTTTGAAATTTAAGAACTAAGGTTTAAATTCATTAACACTGTGTCATCAGTGTATTACTGTATAGGCTTCAGAGTCACACATGTAAAGTAAGTAGAATCTGCCCCTCTGTAACTAGAGAGAGGATGTACTTTCCTGTCTCTAAAGCAGGTTTAAGAGTTTACCATATTCATTTCTTTCTCTTTTTGGAACACTGATCAAACTTGATTCTGTGGTAAATTAAGCGCCTCGTGGTTATACTTGTTTGCAAGTAAATGAGACCATAATTGCCAAAGAATATAACTTTTAAATAAATAATGGGTACTTATTTTAAGCGATTGATAAGGCTAGAGACAACACTAGGGTAATTAACCATTGTGATTATGTGGTTATTTGTAATACCAGAAAGAATAATTGAATACCTTCCTGTTGCAAAGTTTGTGTATACAATTGGAAAATAGAGTATTTTAATTATCTTTTCAGATAATTGTGACTGTTCTTCTTTGATACTATACCAAAATTTGACAGGTGGTCATTTCTTTAATGTTAGATGCAATATGAAATCTCAAACCCCATTAGTGAATTTTTTTAATTCTTGGAGACTCACTAGACTGTTATGTACCTTGAGTGAATCTTTACCTATGCATCATTTTCTTGTGTTAAGTATTGATCATTTGGGAAATGCTGATTTGTCATATAATACAGATGTTCCACATGTCAACATATCTCATTGCACAATTTCAGCAATTCCCATTTGCTAATATTACCACTGATATTATAAGAAAAGTACCAGGAAGTTCTCAAGCTTACTGCAAGAACAAGTTTAGCAAAATTTTTATCTTTTTTTTTTTTTTTTTGCAGTATTGGGGGTTTAAACTAAGGGCCTATACCTTCTATACCTTGAGCCACTCTACCAGCCCTTTTTTGTGGAGGGTTTTTTTAAGATAGGATCTCTCAATTTCCCTGGGCTGGCTTTGAACCAGGATCCTCCTGGTCTCTACCTCCTGAGTAGCTAGGATTACAGGCATGAGCCACCAGTACCTGGCTCAAAATTTTGATTTTTCACTTGAAAGCTTGAAGGCTATTATTGGCAACATAAACTATCAGTTGTTTTTCTTGAAGCCAACCATCTCGCTTCATTTTTGAGAAAATATCTGTAAAATACCAAAGGATGAAAACAATAGTTTGTCAGTTATTCTTTCAAGTTACAATGTATTCCATGAAGATAGTGACTAGTTCGGTTCACAACTCACATAATCATACATCATGAGATGACCATGATACATTAATACATTCCAGAAATGCTTTTTGTGTACTTATGATTTTATTACCCAGAAAATTAAAAAGATACATATTCAAAGGTTAGATGTAATAATAAAAATAACTTCCCTGCACTATCAAGGGCATTCTTTTTCTTTTCTTCTTTTTTTTTCCTCTCTTTGGTGGTACTGGGGATTGCACTCTAGTCTTGCTATTACGTTCTAGCCAAGTGCTTTACAGCTTGAGCCAGGCCTCTGGCCCTTTTGCACTTTTTAGTTTGTTTTTAGATAGGGTCTCTCACATTCTTGCCCTGGCTAACTTTGGACTGTGATCCTCTTATCTTCAGCCCCTGAGTTGCTGGGACCGCCGGTGGGCACCACCACTCCTGGCTTGTTTTTGAGATAAGATCTTAGCTAACTTTTACCTGGGTTTGCCTCAGACTGTGGTACTCCTATCTCCACTTTCTGAGTAGCTTGGACATTGTCAAGTAAAACTAGCCTTACAAACCTTTTTTTTTTTTCAATGGAAGGTAATTTTTATAGTGATTGACAACTGGGCAGTTTGGGGCTACAGTGAACTAATTATATATAGGCAGTAGGATTCCAGAAAGGATATTGTGCTCAAGCAGTTCCATATTGTTCCTGGCTGATGGATACTATGAAAGTAAACTACATTAGAATTCATGAACTTAGGTTTTTATATACCCTACGTATTGATGCCCAGTTCTTCTTTTCTTTTTTTTTTTTGACGGTACTGTGGTTTGAACTCAGGGCCTCATACCAGCAATATTTATTGATGTTAAAATTTGTATTGGCATTTCCTTCCTCCCCTCCCCTCCCTTCCCCATGTGTTTTGGAAGTACTTTCTGGAGTTTGAACTCAGGCCATCAAGGGTATTCTTTTTTTCTCCTCCTCTTCCCTTCCTCCCTCTTATCTTCTTCTTCTTCCCTTGGTGGTATTGGGGATTTCACTCAGGCTCTTGCTCTTACTAGCCAAGTTCTCTAGCACTTGAGCCATGCTTTTAGCCCTGTACTGATATTTTTGCAGTAGAGTTAATAATGATTTTTTTTTTTTTTTGGCTGAAGGGAATATGTCATTATCCATATTTGGAGGTTTGAAATTATTTTGAAATATTTTTGATATTTCACAGAAATGAAGATCTTTACACTTCTCTTACAGAACATCAAGAACTTTTCATCGTACTGAGGGATCCTGGTGTCTTAGAATAGAAAGAGGCATTAGAATTCATTCAAACCAATAACTTCCTTTTTAGGGATGAGGTCTATGGGGATCTTAAATGACAAATTGAGATTATCTTCTGCAGACAGAATTAGGGTGCTGTGATTAGAGAATGGCTTGAAGAAGGCTTCAAGTATTTCTGTAATGTTTATGACTTTAAAAGAAAAAAAATTAGAGGCAAATATGGCAAAAATGTTAATACTTGAAAAACGTGAATAATAGATACTTGAATGATCATTATTGCTTCCTGTATTTTTCTATTTGAGTGTTTTATAATCCAAAGATTGAAATCTAAAGCAGATTTAAATGTTCCTTTTCACATAGAGAAATGATTGCTCCCAAAGAGCTAGTATTTATGGAATAAATTAAATATCCAGATTGAGAAGTATTTGGGGGCATGAACCTGCTTTTAGTAGGATTCAGGTCCTGTGTTGCCTATTAGTTCTTTCAGAGTCACCTACTTGCTTTTCTGTAGCTATTGATTCTGTATCTATACCTTTTTTCAGTGTCTGTATCTTTTTGCCTCTATTCCCCACCTTCTACTATACACATCCTTTCCTGCACTGTCATGGTAACAGCCCTTTGCAGCTCTCACCTATGCGGACTATTAAATTCTTTGGAGACATTATCTTTCTGTTATTTTCCCTCCACCGTGCAGCTGCAGCCTCTTATGTTAATCTTCTCTACCACTTTGTACATTTCTTGGTTTTGTTTTATTTTGTATTATAAAGGTTTTCCACTAAAGTAATATCATACTTAGATTTAACAAGTTTTAATAAACAAGGTTTATAATAAATGTTTGCCTGAAGCTCCATCTCATCCCTCCATACAAGTCTTGCTCATGAGTGAAGTCACTTTTGAGTCTTCAGACTCTTTCTGCCATTTGTTTCCACCTTCCTAAATATTAGGCTATGCTGCTATGTTTTTATTTTTCATCTCTGAACATTTTATGTTGACCTCATATGTTATTATCATAGGGGATAAGAATTTGGCTCTTTTATGTTATCTCATACTCTCATTCTCTGTACAAACTTCTTTCCCCATATTTTATAGGTATCAATTTTTGGTCACATCTGTATTTACTGTTTACATTATTGTGAGAATGGATAAGTCACTTAAATGCAGTGAATACATTTCTTTTCTTGTACTGACTTGATAGTAGCCTCTCTTTTTTTCACTTATATATTTTTCTTCTCTAGTATTTGTAAGCTTTTTGACAGAAATCCAGCATTCCACCTTTTTCTTGGAGATTGCTTCCCTCCTGGAGCAGTGTAGGTATTTGCTCTTTTTGTGCATCTTTTCTGTGGGGTGTGTCAGTTTTACTTGAAAGGAATCCTTTGGTCTTTTGCCTGGTGATGCATGCCAAGATTCAGAGAACTGAGTGAAGAAGAGAGCTCCATTCTCAAGGTTTAGTGTGTAGATTTTTACTTAATCTCCCTGTTTTCAGAACGGTGTTGTTTGTTTGTTTTGTGGTGCTGGGAATTAAACTCAGGGTCTTGTCTATTCTAGGCAGGCTCTCTACAAGTGGGCTATATCCCCAGATGAGAAAAGTGTTTTTTTGTTTGTTTGCTTTTTGGGGTTTTTTTGTTTGTTTCTTCTACTGTGCCTATGTCTTTGAACCAGGGATTTTCTGGTTCATAGAATAAACTCTCCTGCTGAAACTGGGGCAAGGACCTGGGGCCTAATAACCCTAGCTAATAACCTCATATAACCTTTTGAAAATCTTTTTTTGTAGAAGTGTAACAAAAACATAGAATAGTTACAAATAGAAATGTACACTTCAGTAGATTTCCACAAAGTACATATCCATGCAATTAGTACCCATATTGAGAAACAGAAGGAACCCTCCTTCTATCCTTCCTATTACCCCAAAGATAGTCAGTGTCCTGGCTTCTAACTCCACAATTTGGTTTTGGCTGTTTTTGTATTTGATAAGTCAGTCACACAATGTATGGATGTGTTCAGCTTCTTTCATTTGTTTCTTCG